CTTTTTCTTATTTTTATTTTATTTCTAGTTTCTAATTTCTTTTCTTCATTTTTTCTTTACATTCTTATTTTCTTTTGTTTTTTTTCTTCTTATTTTTTTTTCTTGTTTCTCTTTGGTTTCTGTTTTCTCTTTTTCATTTTTTTTTTCTATTTCCATTTTCTCTTTTTTCTTTCACTTTTTTTTTTTCACTTTTTTACTTTCTACTTTCCACTTTTTTTTTTCTTTCTTCTTATTCAGTTTCCTTTCATATTATACTGTTATTAACTACAGCTTCATTTGTACCTTGCAGATACTTTATAAACTTTATATACCTCTTGTTTGTTTCTTTTGTCTATATGCATATGCTGTATTTCTGCTCTTTCTTTTGTTACCTTGCATTGCCTTTGCATGTTTTATGTTTAATAATTTTGTTTTTCTTCTTTATTTTTATATAAGTATTCTTGATAGCAACTATAATTACTACTATAACAAACAACCAAAGCATAAAATAGCAAAGCATGAAATATTAAAGCATGAAATATTAAAGCAAGAAACAGCAAGGCAAAACAAGTGACAAATATAATATCTGCTTTACTAGTAATATAAAAGCCTAGAAGATAGTAAAATTAAATATCAAATTAATATTGATATAGTATTAAAGAGAATTGTTAGAAGCCCTAATCAAAATATAATCTGCATATGTGAACTTGCTCCACCAGATTATTATAATTAGAAGCCTTACTTTTTATTTTTTTATAGCTGTTACTGTTTTTTTGACTAGATTTTAAAACAATCCACAAGTTATATTCTTTATTTACAATACTATTTCTTAAATCATAAGATATTTTTTTTATAATATTCAAAATTTTTTAATCAAAATGTTTTTCTAAAAATTTATATAATATTAATTTTAATTATATATTATTTATTGATAATATTTATTTTTTATTTATCTAATAAAAATTTAGAATTTAATTATAAGCAAAAATTTATATTTTTTTTAAAAAAATTTTTTTAAATTAAAGTTTATATAATTATAATCAGTTTTGTAAAATTATTTGCAAGTAATAACTTTAATTACTTAAAATTTTTATAATTAAACTATTAAAATTATAATAATTAAACTTGTATTAGAAGTAAAGTAATTTTTATAATTAAACTATTAAAATTATAATAATTAAACTTGTATTAGAAGTAAAGTAATTTTTTGCTTTAAACATATACTAAATTTTATATAATTTTTTTATATTAAAATTTTAACTACAAAGTTTAAAGTTATTTTTTTAAAAAATTTCAAATAAAAAATATCTTAAACTATATTTTTTATAATATAAATAAATTATAAAAATTAAAATTTTAAATATGCAAGCAAATTTGCTTGTATTACAATTTAAGAAATAGTATTATATAATTAATTTTTGATTAACAATAAAGAGTATTTCCTAAAAAAATATTAAAAATTTAATTTCTATTTAAAATATATATATAATATCAATTTTAATTTTTTATTTAACTAAATAAAAATCATCACAATTGTAATTTTCTTTTTAACAATTAAATTTATTATTATTGGCAAATCATATTTCTTTTAAACAAGTTACTGCAATAGTATATTTTAAAAAATTGATGTGATATAAATAAACTTACTATATTTTTAAACTATATAAGTTTTACAAATATTTAAAAAATAGGTAAAAATATTTTTTTGCTATTGCAAGAAATTATAATTTCTTTGTTAACAAGATTATATTAATTATTATTCAATTAGAGAAGATTAGTTATTATTCAATTAGAAAAGATCAAATTTTTCAAAATTTTTTTGAATATTTGAAATTATATTCTCAAAAAATATATTTATAACATAATTTTAAAAAAAGCTGTTTATTACTATAATATTTTTTTCTTACAAATATTGTTTTTAAATTTTTATAATTTAATAGATATATTATGAACATATATAAAGATTCTATTTTCTTTTGTTAAAAGGTATCTACAAATATTTATATATTAATAAAATTTAAAAAATCAAAATAAATTTATTTAAATATAATATACTTTGTTACTACTAAAGTATTTTGATATAGTTTTTTTATTTCAAATAATTGAATAACTTGTTTTTATAAAGCAAATATATTAACAATTGTGTTTTTTATAAGTTTAAGTATATCAGTACCAATTTAATTTTAATATATAACAAGTATTACTTTGTTTTATATCTTGTTATGAATTATTATTTCTTCATTTTTTTTTATTGTTTTTACAAAACAGGAGACAATATTGATTGCAAATATATAGAAAGAAATGAATTTTTTTTTTTATAAATCTATTTTTTTTTATTTTTATTTTTTATAAATTTATTTTTTTTTATTATTTTATTATTAAACTAGAAACAAAATCCAGAAATATTGTAATAGAAATATAATATTTATTTTGTTTTAAAATTTAATTAAAAAAATTATAATTATAATAAAAGAAGATATATAAATTATATTAATAAATATTTTTATTTTAAAAAAAATAATTATACTAGAAAACAAAATTTATTATAAACCAAAAAACTTTTTTCTAATTATGTTTAATTTGTTAAAAAAATTTTTTTTATAGTAATTTTAAGTAAAAAAATTATTTTATATACTTTATTATAAGTAAGCCTTAACTTAAAAATTTAAAAATCTTTAAAACAACTGGTGCAATAAGATAGAATCTTTGATTAAAGTCTACTCAAGTTTGGAAGTCTTATTTATCCTTTAATTATATAAAAAAAGAACTATGGAAATTCTTTACTCTTTTGTTTTTTTTGTATTTTTTCTTATCCTTATTCTATTATAAAAAATATCCATATTATTACCATTATACTTATTAAACAAAATACTTTCCAAAACATATATTTAAACAGATATTTATTTCAAGTCAATTCTTAAATTCAATTATATTATAGTGATACTTGCTATATTATTTCAAATTTTTTAATATTTTTATCTAGCCAAAAAATTAAAATCAGTTTACTTTTTTTAGATAATCAGTACTTTTTAATTATCCAATCAGATTTTATTTAAAAATCAAAACAAAAACTAAACCTGTTTAAATCAATTTTATATTATAATAATAATAATTATAACAATAATAACAATCACATTATTATTAATAATTATAACAAATAATATTATATATATTCTATTATCTATAGTAATTAAAAACTAGAAAAGTGAAACAAAAAACTTGTCTATAAGTTTTTTTGAAAAAACAATTAGTTTTTTACTTATAGATTTTATAGTTTACTTCACTTAGTTTTAGTTTTGATTATATTTATTTTTTTTTTCTTAATTACTTTATTTATAAATTTATAAAAAAACTTTACAAAATTTTCTAAGTAGATAAATACAGCTATTATTTAGAATAGTCAATATATAGTATTGTTTTGAATTTCTTTTTTAATATTAATTAGATATGTATGTGTAAGCAAGTTAATATTTAACTTGCTATTTTATGTATATAAGAAATATTGTTTCTTTCATAATATATACCTTGTTATATACAATATCAAATAAAAAAATAATGTTTACCTATAAAAAAAACTTCTTTAAAAAAAAAACAAAATTTATTATAAACTATATAATTTAATTTAATTAAAAAATATCAGTTTTAAAATAAGAAATATATAAATTCAATTTAATTTGATTAAAAAAAATTAATTTAAAAAATTAAAATTAAGTTAATATTAAATTTATTTAATCAAACTCAATTCGATTCAATTTATCTTATAAAAATATAATTTTGTTTAATATGATTTTTTTTCTATTTCTTGCTTATTTTTAATATTTTATTATATTTTATTTACAAAGTTTTTATATGATTCTTATTAATTATAATGGCATAAATAATATATTCCGGTTGCATAAATATAATTTAATATGAAATTTGTTTTGTTATAAGTTTATTTCAATTTTTTTAATTGGTTATAGCCTTAATAAAATCTGAAATTTTGTATTTTAGATATTACTCGATTGCAATAGATAACGATTTATTAACGATAAATATTAAAGTATTTACGGTAATTGAATTATTATATGGCTTCAAATGAATTGATGAGTTTTTTATTATTAAAACTTGATTTCGTGATTTGTTTTTGAATTCGTGATTTGTAATTAGATCCATTGCGCAAAATATATTAAGAAAGTATTTGAATTATATGAAATAAAAATCTTGTAATAACCATTGCATATCATTTTGATACAATAATTTAGAAAATCAGCAGAAAAGGTTTTTTTTTTTTTATAAATGAGTTTAACAAAAAAAAACCAAATCCTTACATAATCATCTTATTACTGTTTTTTAAAAAATATACATGATATATGATTATTATCAATATTAATAATCATAATAATTTTATCTATTTATACAATAGATTATCCATTAAAATATTTTTTAATTAGAGTTAAATTAATTTTTTTAATCATAATTATTCGATTACAAATAATTTATGACAAAGGCTTAAAATTAATTATATAAATCAACTTATAAAAAAAAAATCATCTATTTTATTATAGACAAATTGTTATTTCAACATAGTCATATGACAGTACAAGGTTTTATTTAACCATAATTTTTGATATAATTTCATTTAAGATTTCACCTCATGCATAAATATGTATTACATATCAATCATTAAATAATTAGCCGAGCCGACAACCTCAAGACTTTTTTTTTTTTAGAAAAAAGAAAAAAGAAAGATATTAGGGGATCGCATATCATAACATACAACTTGTTCTTTAAAATAACAAGATGCAATTATGTTCAATTTAGAAGTTGCAACCGATTGTGTATGTACAATTACTCTGCTAGTTACATGCTGGTTATATGCTAATTACAAGTAACCAATATCTATTTTCAATGATGTAATAACACCTATGGTACATTAAATAACAGTATACAATTTTTGTTAGTTTCACCTTATCGCGATCAAAGAAAGTTCCAAAAAAAAAAACAACAGAAAAAAAAAAAAACGAGCCCCTCCTAATCCATTAACTATATTTATTTAAGGCTTTCACAGCAATTTCACCCTAGGAGAGATTTAAGGGAAAAAAAAGTTAATGAAATTAATCAAAAATTGTTATCGTATTTGATCATCACAAATACTCACTATTGCAACCAAAACTGCAACCACGATCAACCAAATGATAATCCACGTGATCTTTGTCATATTGGTATTACCAACATCCTCACGTAACATGTCAAGTAGATCACTTATTACGTTACATCGTTCATTAAGCAGTTTAGCTCGTTGAGAAATTTCGAGGTAAGCTGATTGCGCGAACAAGATTTATGTTTATTAGAAATCCTATAGAAAAAACATCATGAATCAATGCATCTCCGAATGAACATTCACCTCGTATAGCATTGTACAGGGGTTGTAAAGATGGTTCTGACCAAAATATCTCCGGGGTATCTAATTGAAGGTGAAAGCGTACGTAAAAAAAAAACAATCAGAATAAAATTTGACTGCATTGATGTCAATGTTCAATCGCATACCTAAGACATTAGAAATAAGATTGACATGCATTCTCAGTTTAAACATCTCCCCGGTTAACTTCGTGACCTGGGTTCGGTTCCTATAGGGGTTAATTCGGTAGGTCAATAATCAAACACAACACGTATATATATGCGCTTCTCACAATTGAACGGACACACTCAATCACATACAAATTCAATGTGCCTGTTTGAGCCAGCATCTTCGGTATATGACTGGTCTTCTCAATTGTATCCTCCATTTGCCATTCGTACAAATTTAACTTTGTGCTTTGACTCAGGGCATGGCTAATCGTGAGCTTGATCATGTGATTATCGGTCTTCAAGGTAATCATGTCATTAAAAATCCTAGGTTGCCTGGTCGAATCGAAGTCATATTGAAAATGAAAAGTCTCGCTTTCAACATCATCCACCTTCAACGGACGAACAGATACACCGGCAGAAGCAATATCATCGAGGCACATGTACTCTTGTTCTTCCGTAAAATTCCAAAACACCACGACCCCGTAATCAAAGTAAAAAACTTCGGCGATGTTATTCATTGTCTTCGTTGACGCAACAACATCTTGTTCATCATTATCAAATATCCCATCAGTCACAAAATAGGGATTTAAACCGTCACCATTCTCGAAGTTCTCGATTTGTCGATCTATGAACGTGTGACCATTCGGTGACCTTGCGGCTGTTGATGATACGATCTTTGAATTTCGTCCGGGAAGTAATGGGAAATGATATGGAGCGTAAACGCATTCATCGTATCGTCTACCCAAAAGATATTGATTTGTCAAGTTCAGTTAAAACTACATGCCTGAAGGACACAGAGGAATATAAGAATTCGTACAATACTTTGGTTGAACATTGTGTTCTCTCTTCAGGAATTCCATGAGGAGCCCAAGATAGTATCCTTCCGCGGAACAGTAAGCAGTCACCCTTTATTAAAGAATCAGCATGTAGTGACGGCAGTAAATTCAATGGTTCATAATGATCACAGATGAAATGTCAACGAAAGGACGACATCTTCACCCTTCCGTGAAATTTACCTTGAATACTTTGCGTTATCTCTGACCTCTTTATCCATCCGTTCGGCATCCGTACGATCGTGCTGATCGGAAAACGGTTGCGAAGCTGATGGGGTGACAGGCGTTTCAGCGTGGTCAGAAAAATCATCGATGAGATTAGCCGTAGGTGCATCAGCTTCTTCAGGGAGTAATACTAACTTTTGGGAAGTTTTCGTAGTTCGTAACGGTGCAGTGGGTTTAGAACGACTTCCAGAAGCATTGTTGGGAAGTTGTTCGGTAACAATCGCTAGAGGATACGGTTGTTTCTTTAGTCTCGACTGAGGTGCGCTCGGTGTACTTGTGGAACCGGTCGACTCTGGTTGTTGAAACCGTACTCGCGGCTGGATTTCTGCGTTGTTGGCGGCAGAAACGGCGCTTGACGTGAGTTCAATATCCGAACCTAAAAGTGGGGCTTCCTCGGACATTTTAGCTTTTCCATAAAAAACAATTACAAATCAAAGAAAAATGGAGATTTCCCGCGCAAGGTAGGAGAATAAAACAGTTGAAATCTCACGAAATTTCCTTTTTGTCACTCTTTATGAGAAGAGACGATTGGATGAACATGTTCGTGCAACATCATTTAACTATTATAGTAAACTGGTAAATCCCGTGATCTAGGTTTGCATTATTTTTTTTTTAAAATAACTGGACCGTTGGTCATGTGAACATGATTGTCCAATACGACATTGATTATGACCCAGGTTGAGTGAGAGGAGAGGTTTTCAAAACTTTTGTCAGAATAATAAATATTTATTCACAATGATTCACACGATGATACTCAAAATATATTTGAAGGTAAACATGGATTTCCAGGTAAATGAAATTCTCTATCTTTCATCAACCTCGAACAAAATCAACTTGGAATATCGATCTCTCTACCTCCTTTTAGGTCTTCGTTACTGGAAAAACGACGATGAAGAATGGAAGCCATGCTATCATCCTTAGTCGACCAAGTCGACCAAGATCTTATCATCTCCTCCCTTGTAGGCAACAAATTCAGAACATAAGCTGCTATACATAAAAGACTGAAGAGGACGAATAACCACATGGCGATTATATTGGCTAATTTGATTTGACATGCAGTACGGACTACTTGGGATGTGGGGGATGAGCAAGATATTTCATCGGAAGTTTCGATGGTGTACACGACTTTCAGGGGGAGAAGAGGCAGAAGACGGGAAAGATTTAGTTGAGATGGCAGCGAAAGTAAGATCAATAACGAATCACACATACGTACATGCGACAATAGTCCAGACGATGAACACGGAGCTTTTGTCCGCAACAACAATGAAGAAAAAGAGTATGACCAAAATAATCAATAAATCAAATTCCTCGAAAATAACATTTCAACAGAAGGAATGTCAATCAATAAGTACATAAATCCTTCCTTAGCCGGCTTCACGGCTCTACTGAATCTGCATCTTGTGCATACTCCAGTGATCGCCACTGAAACTTTGTTCGAATTATAACGAAAGCTTTAATTAGTTCGAGGCGCATTTACTTAGCAGGGGGACGACGGTTAGTGTGAACTTGCTCACCAGGCACAAAGGCAGAAATCCCGAGGTAACTGAGGAAATAAAGACAGATGGTGAATATGTCAATGTCATATGCATATGCGCGTGACACACGAACGTTAATTACCAGTATTCGGTAGAGATACTCTCGAATTTAAGCTCATTAGGGTTGTGTTTGAAATTTACAAATTTTACAATCTCTAAATTACACGCGCGTGCATTCCGCGAATGAAATGATTAAATTTGTGTTTATAAATAAACGTTTTGTTTGGAAATTTACCTAAGATAGGACAAATAATTGTCAACAATAACAAAGGCGATCCCAATATTAGAGCAACAATGAATCGAGAATTTCTTTTGGCCGAAACCATCTTCTACTATCACACCAAACTTGTTTTGTTAATCAAACGAAATTTTTCGACCCTGAGGTTGGAAGAACAACGTTAGTGGAAATTAAATCAACAGACGTCGGACAAGGATAACACGATTTTTTTCCCCAATCCCCTCAATATAACTGCGAATAATCTTTCATATACGTACACATATATTTTATACTGTACGTGTATATCCATCAACTTCATTTACCGCGCTACTATGTTCATTTTACAGTAATGGTAAAATAACAAATAAAATGCTATTTATTTTATTTATTTATTTATTTATTTATCATTTTTTCTCAGATCTATGTCCTTTATGGTGGCGCAGTTGATCGAAACACGCGCATTTTGGAAAGTATTGTTAGATGGCTGTACAGAGGAAAGAACGAAGCGTAAAATGATCTTTTGCGCAAAGTTATATTTCGCATGGCACAGGACAAACAAAGTGCACGCATGACACTGCCCGAATCACTGTTTCTTTAGTGGATTAGGATTTTTTGATGTGGCTTCCCTTCTTTTCATAACGACAAAAGAACGAACTAAGCCATCACTACTATTAAGCGCCTCGCTATTTATCGATATTTAGATAGTTTTCAATAACACATTTTCGAAAGTCGATCAAGTATTTATTCTGAAAAACATCATAAAATCAGAAGCTCTATAAGCTTCTCATTTATCGAAGCCACGCTTCGTGTACACAAAATTGATTTGTTTACAAAAATATTGTATTTTGATTATTTCGATTACACGTATGATAAATAAATAAATTTCTTTTATAAAGTTCACATAAAAATTTGGTTGCGAAAAAAATGATTTATCCACGGCGTGAAACGAATGCGTGAATTTAGCAAAGAATGGGATCAAACGATCAAATGAACATCATTACTATTACTATTTTTGCAAGCTGGAATTAGTATGCTTAGTGTTAAGGTTAAGGTTGATTAAGGAATTCCCCGTTTCTGAAAACACCTATTATTATTAAAATTCACAAAGAAAGAATGAATCTAGGCATCAATGGTCAGAATTTGCAGTAAACATCGGAAAGGTCCGTGGCTGTCTACCCACCTGACCTGTTACACTCACCAAAAGACTTATGTTGACCAATCATCGAGTTCTGATTATGACTAATCAATCAATATGTCTGTACGCATAATCATGTGCTTAAGAACACCTACGGAGAAGAGATACTGGATCTATTCAATATTTCAACGAAAAAAATGTCTATTCGGCAAGAGTTGGTGAAATCGGCAGTGGACTTTCTTAATGATCCGAAAGTGCAAAGTTCCCCGCTGCAAAAACGAGTCGCATTCTTGGAACGTAAGGGCCTAACGTCAAACGAGATTGAGGAAGCAATAAAACAAGCGAAAGGTGGTGGTGGTGAATTGCCTACTGCTGCAGTGCCCTCCCAAGTACAGACCCTTCCAGTCTCTGCGCAAGTAGCTCTTGCACCACCACCTCCAGTTCCAAGGTTGGACTGGCGTGATTTCTTCATTGGTGCCGTTCTCATCGGTGGAATTGGTTACGCTATGGTCGAAGTCGCAAAGGTATGCTGTGAAGAGGTGTGCAAGTTCCACCATAAAATTTCCTGCCAATGCCTATTTATCATCTTCTTTTTTCGCGCCATAGAAATACATTGGTCCTCTCTTGAAAACACCTACAGCCGATGAACTGGAACGTGACAAGCAATTTCTCTCCGATCAATTCACCATAGCTTCCGAAACACTGGATATTGTTAAAGCTGATACCAATGTGGCGAGGAAAAACATTGATGAGCAATCATCCAGAATTAAAGAGACATTAGAAACATTAGATAATCTGCTGAAAGATATGAAGGTTCAGGAAGAAAAAAGGGATAATGATCTGAAAATTTTAAAGGAAGATGTCGATGCGATTCGAAATTTAATCCCAAAGGTATTGCATGGTCGTATGTTGTGTGCATTGACGTGGCCTATTGTTAATTAGGTGGTTGCAACGATGTTTCTCATTCTAGCTAATCGAAGGAACAAAAGAATCACAAGCTCAGTCTTTGGCTGAGTTACAAAGTGAACTGAAGTCATTAAAATCTCTTCTCTCCAATCGACGTATTTCCACTGGATCACCTATAACCGAAGCATTAACGTCAGCCTCAACACCTGCAACGACCAATGCGACATCCCCAACCATATCACCCACTCTACCTTTTTCATCCACGGCGCCCGGTCGTCCGTCAATTCCGGCCTGGCAAATGGGTACGAACATCTCCACCGCAGCCAAGGTTCCGGTGGAACAAAATCCAAGTGAACAAAATGGAACCGCCACATCAAACGGCGTTGAAAACAATGTTTCACAGTAATAAGTTCATTATCGTTTTGTATTTGTAAACTACACTTTCAAAAAAAAAATTGTACACGCGGCAAAAAGAGAATTCATAAAATAATTGAGCAAACCGAACTATATTTATATTATGTTTCGCATGAGAATCTACGCGGTTATGAAATTGTTCTCGTCCATTCTATTTTGATATGTTTCTTAATGCTTCAATCTCTCGACCATTATTTTTTAGGTGACCTATTTAGGTTTATTATTGTAAAGGCTTTTGCTGAACCGTCTTCTGAAGAACAACAGGACTATTGACTGTGTATGACGATGATGATTTTTTTTCCATCAGTGTTCCGACCGATTGGATTGGTGTTGTGTACCGTATTAAAAAAAAGTGAAGTAAATGATCAGCCGACTAATGATTTGAAAATCCGATGATTAGAAGTTGGATATTAATCTCCCCGGATACGCTTCCTCACCCACGCGCACCTATGTAACGCGTCACCCGAAAATTCTTTCCACCATAGGCCGCCCTTGAAGTAGGTCCAACAAAATTCGTAAAAACAAATGTGAAAACCCGCTTGTTTCACTCATTTAATTGGGAAATGTTCACCAAACTCGCTTAGTATTAGATGATTGGCGTAATAATTAGCGTGCGGTGGTTTTTTTTGACCATCTTTTTCGCTTAATGCAATTAGCCATGTGACTGATTTGCCGAAATATCGTCAATCACCCCTCTCAAGTTATTATTGTAAACCTTAAATTCTGTATAACATGCATTTGAAAAAAAAAATAGAGTAATAGATTATTTATTTATTTATGATAATTAAATGGTGGGTAATAAATCAACTTTTTTAATAAATTTGTAAATTTTAAAATAATGACCTTAAAATTGAAGTACAGTATATTATTCTATGTATTATTTAATAAATTGAATTTTTTTAAGGAAATCAATTGATTTCTTGTTATTATACGATATCATATTAAAAAAAAAGTTTGTAACAATAACCTGCTTATTCTATATTTCAATCATTTGTTTGCAAAATGATATTTATAGTAAAATACTCGATCATTAGGCATACTATATATATATATATTTTATTGGTTTTTTTTATATAAGATTAATTCTAACAAAATTTTTTTAAAAAAATTATATTTATATATATTGTATATATACTGCATATAATAATCATAAAAAAAATCATATTTTATAAATCCAAATTGTGTTATATATCCAAAATATGGAAAACTATTAATAAAACTATTGTCAATAGTCTATTATCACTTCTTGAAGAATTCAACATCCTAGAATCATAAAAATTTTCAATTTAAAAACAAAAATCCATAAAAACACTTTACAAATCTTTAACAAAAAAAGCACAATACTCCACAAAAAACTTCAAACAATTAAATTCTATATTCATAATCTCTTTATATAAATTTCCTATTTATTCAATTACATAATCTTTAAAGATTTAAAGAATCCCAAATTCCTTTATATTAACAAAAAGAATTAAATTAATTTACTCAAAAAGCTATTCAAAATTATTTTTAAAATACTCAAAATTGAAAATAATCTGTAAAGAAAAATAACTATTATTAAAATTATCACTTAACAAATAACAACTTATAAGAAAATCCTAAAATTATAATCAAACAAATCTTCAATTACAAAAATTTTCATGCTTTATTCATAAAAATTATTGATCTCATTAATAAAGAAATTATAACTTATTTGTAACAAATCTATCAAATAATTATTAATTACTACAAAAAAATTTTTTGCAAATAAATAATTAATAACCAATTTCTCTTTAAATAGAAAAAAAATTATATTTTATTTAGTAATATCAATTCCTTAATTTATAATATACTAATGAGTCTTATTATAAAATATAAAATTTTAAAAACAATTAACCTACTTTCAATAATAAAGCACTAAAAATAGGATCCTAAATTAAAGATGAAGATATAATTCAAATATCTTTTACTATTAAAAAAGTTTTTTTTAAATATAAGATCAAAAAAAAACTACTTATAAAGGTTTTTTGTAATTTAAGCCATTTGATCCAAGTATTTTTTAAATTATGTTACTATTAAAGTAATAAATAAATAATTATATCTTTTCAAAAGAGACATAATTGATCTGTGAAATTTTATATACTAAATAATTTAAGGATCCATCCTTACAAAACAGCTAGTCACTTTAAAATCACATATTTTTTTATAAAATAAATCCAAACAATACTTATCTTCTATCTTTATACAATCTTTAATCAAATACTTTTCTCTCAAAAAATTTCAATAGACTAAAAAAATTATTATATCTTTTTCATTAATAAAAACATCAATAGAAATACAATATTCAAGAAATAAGACCTATAGCTTTTGTTAACTTATTTAAAAAAATAACAATCAAAATTTAATTAAAAAACTCAATCTTATATTAACAAAATACAAAGTTTTTCAAAAATCTAACTTCACAAGCCTCTTTAATCAAAGCACTTTTGAATCAATACAATTTTTTTTTTTAATTTATAACTCCAAAAAAATTATACAAGAAGAACTATAAATTCTTTCACTTGATATTAGTACAACCTTTAACTTAATAAACTTGAACATGTTCAAAAAATTAATACAAAGATTGCATCTATTTGAAACCTTCATTTTTTTAATTAGCAATATTTTTATAAATTATTTATATCAAATAATAATAAATTTTAATATTACTTAACAAATTATAATTTCCAATGGAATCGATTAAGAAAAATTACTATTACTTTTTTGATAAATTATTTTCTACAATTCTCTAATCACAGTTCTAATATAACAATCATCAAATCTAAAATACAATATTATAGCATATATGGACAATCTCAAATTTTTAACAATCTCAAAATTTAAAATTCAAACTAATCTAAACATTTTAACAAAATTTTTTCAATTTAACAATATCAAAGCCAACCTAACAAAAACCAAATTAATCATTTTAAATAGTAAAATCTTTAATAAAAAAACTTTCAAATATTTATCTTTATATATGGATTTTTTAAATATTTTGAATATGTTATATTCAATAATTCTTAATTATATTTAAATTTATTAGGTTATATAAAGATAGGACCTTTGATCTTTTTACAATTAAAGAATAAAAACAGATTAATGTATAAAAGGTTATATAAAAAAAGACTTCTGGTCTAATTTTAATAACAAGTTTACAAACTTTAATTAAAATTGGTAATAACAAATTCTATTACACAATCTAAAAAAAGATTGATTCTAAGCTAATCTATTTTAATTTGAAGCTTAAAGATCTATTCCAATAGTAATATTTATCTGAACTATGGTTCCGAAAATTGGAATCGAATAGAATCGAACAGAATCGCATGAGGTTCGGAACACCATTAAAAATAATGGTGGGGTATACCCCACCTATTAAATTTAATATAAACTTGAGAATTGAATACAGAATCAAAGAGAATCATTAGGATCCTTAACCTGAACTTAAATAAATTGAAAGTGCAAAAGTTATTTGCTACAGTTGATGAAAAACTAGATAAAAATTATCAAAATCAAATAAGCTTAATAAAAATTTTCAAGATTAAATTGGAATTCAAATAAAAATAGTAGTATAATATTATATTAATGACATATTCCAAAAAAAAAATAACAATAACTGAAATACCGAAATTAATCTTTATAATAATATTCAATATAACCTTCTCTTAACAAATAGCTGAAAAATACAATTAAATCAATAGGATAATAGGTTTAAACTAATAATAGAATTTTTTTTATTTTGTATAAGTCCTATCTGGCATGAGCTTATATATTTAATATTAATTGATTAATCAGAATAGTCCAGTTAGTTTTTGAGAAACCATTATTACTGAAAATAATAATTACTAGATAATATTAATTATATTTTAGAATAGTTATAATATAGTTTATAAAAATGTTTAATATAATAACAAGATATTTAAATATCAATAAAATCTTATAACTAATACCCTTGGTTAATTAAAAAAACAAAATAAAATTTGACTAAATTTTAAGTTAAGTTAATTATTAAATTATTTTTTATACTTAATAAAAAAATAATTATTATTATATTATTATTATTATAAATTTTGATTAACAAATCTATATATTAAAATAATTTTAATAATAATTATTATTTTTATTTTATAATACAGTATTTATAACTAGAATTAATTATTTTTTAAAAATTTTTTTGAAAAATTTAATAATATATTTTAAAAACTTTGTTAAATAAACTTATTTTTTATAGTCTTAAATATATATATTTTTTTTAATCCCGCAATCAGGTTGGTGTCGTTTATTTATTTAATTATAAAGAACCATTACAAGTTGAGAATCC